CCCTGCCCTACGCCACTTGGTCCACCCTTCCCCTTCTCTGAGCATTTCCTCGAGTTTCTCCCCGAGGTCTCTGCCCTCTCCTGGCCTTCCCCGTGCCCTGCACCGTGCCCCCTGCTCGGCACTTTCCCGGACCTGCTGGGCATCCAGCTCAGCCCTCCTGTCTCAGGCTGCTCCCCCCTCTGCCCACATCTTATAAGGAGCGGCTGAGGGACCTGGGGGTCTTCGACTGGAGCAGAGGAGGCTGAGGGGAGACATTCTCGCTCTCTGCAGCTCCCTGACAGGAGGGGGGAGCGAGGCAGGGGTGAATCTCTTCTCCCAAGTAACAGGCGATAGGACAAGAGGAAATCATAGAATCCTAGAATGGCCTAGGCTGGAAGGGACCTTAGAGATCATTTAATCCAACCTCCCTGTCATGGGCAGGGACGCCTCTCGACTAGATCGGGCAACACATGGGGACCGAACGGGAATCAAACTTGTGACCTTGGTATTATCAGCACCGCGCTCAACCAACTGAGCTGACCGGCCCCCAAATGGCCTCAAGTTGCACCAGAGGAGGATTAAATGAATATTAGAAAAGATTTCTTCGATTTCTTTCTTCTGCTTTAACAGGGCAGAGGTGGAGTCCCTACCCCCGGAGGGATTTACAAGCCGTGGAGATGAGGTGCTCAAGGCCACAGGTTAGTGCTGGGCCTGGCAGCGCTGGGTCAATGGTTAGAGTTGATGATCTTAAAGGTCTTTTCCAGCCTAAACCATTCCATGATCTGTGGCCTTTGACACGTAGTGTGGGGATACGCTGCTGGGAGCTTAAGGGATTTGCTTTCTTCAGCCCTTGTGGTATTCAGTTTTTATCACACTTAATTCCCGTGTTCTGATTGCCCCCAGGCAGTGATTTCTTCTGGCAGTGCAGTGCTGTGAGCTGAAGGGTAAATTCTGCCATCTCCTCGCGTGCCCCTGGCGAGGGGCAGTCAGGCTGTACCAGGTTACACATTCAGCTGCTGTTTTTCCGGCTGTTGGGAGGGAGGTGTACAGCTCTGCCCCAGTCCTCGCTGGGTGCCCGGCAGAACATCTGACAAGAGCGCTTGGAAGCACATCCAAGGTTTGATAACCTCTGGGCATTTTTGGTGAGAAAAATCAGCCTTCTTGTTTATCTTTTAAGCAAGACCTAGTTACCGTAACAGTCATTTTTACGTCTCTTGCCTCCTCTTTTAATGAGACGGGAATTTACTACAGATGCTGTTGTTTTTTTCCCAGGCAGCTTCCCAGAAAGCAGCCAGAGTCAGCCCATATGTCTGTGATACCCAAGATAGCACTTGTTTTAACCCTATTTTGGTTTTAAAGGCCTCAAGTTCCTTTTCCTCTACACCAGGATAGAAATGAAAGCTACTAATGAATCCTGTAGGCTCACTCTCCCTCTGCTCAAGCGTGTCATTGCAGCGGTTTAAAACAGACTCCTTGCTGCCTCTGCCTTTGTGACGTGCTGGTGTGCTCAGTCCACAGGTTAATTACCTACATCTTTGTCTACGAAGACCTGACGTCCTTGACCTGCGGTGCCGTTATCATCTGGTATTTTGCCAGCAGCTTTGAGAAGAACGTTGGCACTGCGAAGCACTGCTTCCTCACCATCGCCTTCGCCGTCCTCTCCGCCCTCCTGTACCTCTTACTCGAGACCGTTGTTTCAAGGGTGTCCGAGGTGGAAGATGCCAAAGGGTTCATGCCGGTAGCTTTCGCTACGTTGGGTGTGTCCACCACGCGCTCGCGGATAAAGAGGGCTCTGTTTTTCGGGTTTAGAATTCCAGTGGTGCTGGTGCCGTGGTTTATGCTCTGCATAGCATGGTTTATCCCTCACTCCTCTCTCCTGAGTAACCTGTGTGGGCTCCTGACGGGGGCAGCCTGTATCCTTTCCAGCTCTGAAGCAGAGTGGGGGCGCTGGTTCGCGAGAGGGGGGATGTGCTGCGGTTCTCGGGGCTTTATGGTGTTTCCTGGGCTCCCGCTCTGCGTTAACCTCTCACTAGCTTTGCTGGTCATCAGCACACGTGGTTCTGCGTGTGTTTTTTCACATCATGCTTCTTCTTCCGCCGTGGCTTTAGTGACAGAACCGAGAAGGGCAATGTTCTGTGAAGATGGCGCTGGGTACAACTGGGAGAGTTCTCCTGGGGAAGTGGTTTGTGGCCAAAGGGGGCTCGTGTGTGGTCATGTTGGAAACGAGTGTGTTTTGTCTGCAGTCCTCCTTAACACACTGCTGCCTTCAGATGGCCTTGGCTACTGTTTCTGCTTGGATTTTCCGGAGTCGGTGGGCTCTAAGCTGGACCACGTGTTCCCTTTCAGCCTGCTAAAAAGGATACCAGTGCTGAGCTATATCCCAGGGTCCTTAGCAGAGAGAAGAGCCTTCGAAGGCAGCAAGTAAGTACAGGAGTTCCTGTGAAAGATCTTAGGATAGAGGGGAATTTTGAAGCGTAAGCCGAGGCATTAAATTGCCTTTAAAAGCTGTTTTGTGCTCCCCAGGTGTGTGGGAGGGTGTACTGACCCAGTGATGTTACGCTGGTGAGACTACTGTGACTAATAGCTTAGCACACAGTAACTCAGCTAGGCCTGGCAGTGAAAGCTAAATTGAGGTGACAGCCCTCTCATTAGCTGCAGGGGCAGCATGTACTCAGGCAAAGGAGCTGCAGCTCGCCTGACATAAAAGCTGAGTGGTTCTCCAGTAAAGTTAGGACATAGGGCATTTGTTCCTGGCCATGTGGCTCCCTGGGGCGTGTTCCTTATCTTTCTTTGCCCCACCTCACCTCCCAGAAATGCTGTGAAGCGAGTTGGGTCCAAATCTGCTTTGGAGCTGTGCATTATAAATGAAAGATGTCATTCAGCGTCGACCTTTCAGTGCCTGGTTTTAGTGTCAAGGCAGGATTGCTCTGGAGAGACCCCAGGGTCTGTGGCCGATGTTCGGAAGGGTTTTAAGTTTGTGTCTGTCATGAGCCATGAGGACGCACTTGTATACCAAAAAGCTTGGAAATGTAGGTCAAATTTTCCCCTGTTCTAAGATGTCGTTTCAGTTTCACACAGGAAGGATGGTTTTCTGTTAGGGGTTAAATTCTATGTATTGTTTAAGCCAGCAGCTGCTGTAAAGCATTCTTTGAAGTGGAAGCATTCCCAGTGTTTGCATCTGCCCCCACCCACGGGGAAGCCATAAAACAAACCTTTGCCTGCACCAGGAACGCACTAACCCAGATCTGTTGGGGCGTTCGACCGTGGGAGTGCTGGCAGGGGAGGCCGGGCAGATCCGGCAGCGTTTGGGGTTTGACTCCCTGGAAGACTCTGAGGAAGTGCTGCTTTTGGGAGGAGGGACCAGCTCGCTGCCTGCTCAGCCGGTGGCTGCATCAGCCTCACGCTTCTGCTGCGAGCTGTTGTGCACAGTGCCACAGCTCTGTGTCTAATCCTGCTGGCTTTAGAGGAGGTGACATAAATAGACTGTTCTGGCTCAAAGGTATTTACATAAACATTTGACTGTCAAGCAGGGTGTGGGAAGGTGTTTCTAGGATGTTTCCATTTCTGGAGGTAAGTTTGCATGTCTCTCTGTCTTAGACACAAGTTCTCTACGTGCTTCTGGAGCTTCACTTTTGTTATTTTGATTCTTCAGTGGGGGCTCTTTATGGTTCGGGGTTTGTTGTTTAAAAAATTTCAAAAGACTTGAGGCATCAACTTGCCACCAGACAGGAGGCATTTCTTGGAGATCCAGGCTTTGGCATCATGTTGATGTCCACAAAAAAAAAAAAATACCCAAATGAAAACCCAAAACCAAACCCCCACTCCAAATTAAAAAAAAATAAAAATTAAAAATCCAAGCTCAAAAACCCAGCCTGAGCCAGTCTTTTGTTCTTGCCTGGAATCCAGCAGTCATGGTCTTCGTGAATATTGTCTCAGTTCTCAGCGCTCGTCTCAGTGCTGTGCGGGGGCTGAGCAGTACTCCTGAAGTCCCAGAGGCTTTGGCTTCGAGGCAGATTGCCGCTCGCTTGATCCGTTTTGGCGGGATGAGTCATGCCTTCTGCTGGCAAAGGCTGTTTCTAGACCTTGCTTCTGAATGATTTATTTTAATTGTAACTCTCTCCTCCTCCTCCTCCCCTTTTTGCTCTGTACCCTGGGCTCTTATTTGCACTGAAGGCCTTTATGGCTCCCTGAAACACTTGGCAGCTGTGAATTTTCCTCATTAATGACTTAGCAGACGTGTCATTCAGTGGAACGCAGGGAGGATGCACATGGAAATCTTAAAGCAGTTTGACTTGCTTATTCCTTGCACAAAGAGACTCGTTCAGTGGGTGTGGAATTGTTGTGGGTTGGGAGCTGTCCTGGGAGGCCAATAAACCTGTTTTTACTCCAATGTTGGTTACAATAAGAGCTTCTCTTGTTGTAGTGAGTGTCTCTGATGGATTGCAGTCACCTTTCTGAGCTCTGGTCAGGAGGAAATCTACCCCCAGGGCACTCCCAGAGTTAATTGGGCAGCCCTGGTTCTGAACAGGGCTGTAACCTTCTGTCTTCTTCCTGCCCAGGATTAACGCTGTGCCAGGCACCTACCCCACCCAGAGCTACTACTGCGCTTCACCTCCAGCTCTTCCCGCTTTCCAGATGCTGCATCCCAGTGCTCAGAGCCAGGGCTTGCAGCACAGCTGCGCTCCGGCCTACAGCCATGCTCTGCGACACGACGGACTGCAGCCCGGCCACATGGCAGGACACGGCCTCACTTCTTCCCCCTGCCAAGCCAGAGGTGCCTTCGGAGAGCCTTACGTGCCAGCCCACGCCGGGGCCCCGCTTGGAGAGAGCTGCCAGCTGGGAGAGTTCTCCCTGCCACAGCGACTGTGCCCGACTGATCCACCGGCACCCGCGGGCGTGGGGCCCCTGGCTGGGACTCAGCAAGCGTCAGGGTGTCCAGCAGCCACAGCGACTTCCCTTCCAGCTGAATTTTCGCGGGTCCAGGTGTACTGATGCTCCAGAAATCACCAGGACTCTCACGCTGTGGCAGGACCTTTGGCACAGCGGTCTCTGGGTAACTAGTGGAAGGGGTTGGTGACTCCAGGTCAGGCCCTGCTCCCTGCCACAGTCTACTTTAATTAGAATTCTTTTATAATTATTTTTTTTACTTTTTGATATTGCTGGGGAATGGGGACTCTATCACCTCTGGGAACTTCTAATCCTTTTGGAGATTTTTTTTTCTCCATGCAGTGTCTAGCAGCTGCCTTTTTCCACGTTGCTGCTAGAGTTGCAGTGCATCAGCTCCCCAACACCAACTAAGAACTTAATTGTCAAGACACTGCACTGATCTGGGCTTTAAACCAGGCTGCAGCCATCAGGCCACATCCCATCTACCCTGAGCTTTTAGCCTCCTATCTGCTTTACAGGTGATGTAGCTAGGACCAAAAGGACATTGGAATTATGAAATTATAACTTAATATTTGAGTGGAGGAGGACAAATAACCTGTGTGAGTGATTTCTCCACTAAGAGTGTGCCTTGAGGGAGACTTGTTAAAGCAGGGCTGGAGCGTGAGAGCAGAATACAGAACACCCTTTGCTGCCCCCAAAACACAGCTCTTAGACACGGAAAATCCTTCCTGGCTGCACTCTGTGCAGGCATCAGTGCGTTGCCTTCGTTTTGTGACAGCGCTGGACTAACTCGGTCTGTGTTGCCAGCGCTTGTCGATAAGGCGACCTCAGATGTGTGCAAAGGAGTGGAAGACTCTTCAGTAAGGGATTTTGGCTGTTTGTAGAGAAAGTGCAGAAAAATGCAAGGAGCTGGGAGGGACCTTAACCTCCCCGTGGCTTAGAGGATTAACCAGAATGTAGTAATGCCGCTGGGAGCGTTCACACTGCTCAGCTACCGGTGTCTCACCTGCCTCTCTCTGTTTTCTTACGAGACGGTAGGAAGGTGGCGGGAGAGGGGAGTTCTCAGAAAGGGATTCAGAGCGGGATGTGGTGTTTGGTGCCTGTGATGGTGATGAAGGTATTTGGTCGAGTTGGTGAGACTTGAGCTTTATTTCCTGCTGCTCTGCTGTGCCATGCCCAGGGGGAATCTGCTGTCTCCCTGTCTGTTAATACAGTCAGCCGGGGTCTCGACTATTGCTCTTGACTCTTTCCTTAGAATTTTGTTGTGCACCAAAAAAAAAAAAAGCTCTTGGAGGTGTTCTTGCAGTGTCTAACCTGTCCCCCAGAAACCATGGTGGCCTCAGGGCTCTTCCCTGCTGTCCCGAGCCGGGGGTGTGGACAGCGTTGGCAGCTGCGTGTCCTGAAGCATGTGTGAGCCTCTTTCTTTTTCTGCCCTCTTTGGTGTCTGGAGAAGCCCCGTGTTGCCGTACAGCCACTTACTTCTCCAGCAGCCCTTCTGGGATGACCGTCACCGTTAGGGGTGGCCTCGCAGGGACTTGCTTTGAGGGG